TGACCCACCTCCCACAGCGTCGCCCCCAGCAGATAGATGTCAGTGGCGGGGCCCAGCGCCTTGTGCAGCAGCTCGTGCATTCCCCCCGGGGGTAGCACCCCGCGCTGCCCAGACGCGCCGCGCTTGAGCTCCCGCTCGCGCCGCCACTTCAGCAGGCCAGCCGCGTCCAGCGCAGCCACGTGCTCTGGGGGCACGTGGGTGGGTGTGTAGCCGTTTGTGGCGCCCAGGCCGTCGCTGATGCGCTGCGCGAGGCCAAAGTCGATGAGCAGGGGGCGCAGGGGGTTGGCCGCGTCCACCACCCAGTTGTCCGCCTTGCCGTCGCGGTGGATGAAGCCCTGTGGGCGGGGATGGCGAGGTTGGGGAAGGCCAGGGGAGGCGCGGGGCAGGGGAGAGAGAGTGTGGCGGCAGGGTGAGGGTCGATGGGTCGGGCAGGAGCAAGGGCAAGGAATGGGGAGTGCGTGAGACTGCACCAGGTGAGGCTTGCTGCCCCCACAGCCTAGCCTCCTGAACGCCGCAGTCGTCGCATCAGCCGCGCCAGGCCCCCTGCGACGGCCCCCACCCGGTCTCACCGCGCCGTGCAAGTCATACAGTGCCTTGAGCATGTTGGGCACCATGGCGCCGGCCTGCTGTACGCGCGCCGCCATGGTCTCCTCTGGGTTGAGGCCCGCCGCCTCGCAGGCGTCTTCCAGCTTGCAAAAGCACGTGCGCACGCTGTCGTCGCCGGGGCGGAAGGACGCGAGTGCCACGCCGCTGCTGGTGTGGCTCCAGGCGATGGCTGGTAATAGGGTGTCATGCCCCGCCAGCATGGGCTCCACCAGCACCTCGTTCAGGGCCTGCGCGGGTTGGGAGAGGCCCGGGATGGGGCAAAGAGGAGGATAGGAGGACGGAGGTGCTAGCAACAGGGGACAGAACTATTCAGACCCCATCTCACCACGGGTCCATAATGGCTGCTTGACTGCAGCGCGCAGGCGTGCGTGGCCCTAATCCCGTCTGTTACCATGCACTGACCTTGGCCCTACCAAGGCCCTGCCTCTGCGCACCTGGCGCCAGCGATGGTCTTGAGGGCCTAGAACCGTTACGTGCTTCACAATGACATACTCGCACCCACGAAAGTCCGGCTTCTCAATGCGCACGGGACCCTTCTCAAACAGGACTTCGCCTGACCCCTTGGCCGCCACGGCCCTGTGCGAGGTGGCCCGGGGAGGGGCAAAGGCAGCGGCACGGCGTTGAGTGGGCGGGGCGGCTGCGCAGAGCGCCGCACATAAGGCAGTGACTCGCAACAACAACGGCACGTGCAGCAGCAGCGGCGCGCGAGCGAGCGAGGCGCATGCTGTGGCAGGGACTCGCGCAAGCTGAGACGACGCGGCGCTCACAACGCGGCGCTCACAACGCGGCGCTCACAACGCAGCGAGCACCCCTGCACGCCCTGCACTGAAAACCCCCTGCTCCTCCACCTCCAACGCACCTGCTGAGCTCTGAGGTGCCCACGGCTGCCAGCGCATGCCTGCGGCGCTCCTCCAACAGCAGTACAACTGCTGCTTTAAGGCGGGGCGCTGCCGCAGCCATGGCGCCTCAGGCGGCGCCTGCGAGATCCGCTGCGGATGCAAGCGCGTTTGATGCTTTCCGTGATGCCTTAAAAGCGCCTCGATTGCTCTCCTTTAGGCTAGCTCGAAGGGTGTTGTTGTCGTCCGCTGTACTCGTGGGCTAGACGAGTCAAACGTGGTGATCTGACGTACAGTGTTGTATATACACGCCTTGAAACATCAGGGACCACAAATAGGGGTCGATAATTAGAGGGTGCTGCATTGAATGGTGCTGCTTAGCTACAATTTTACCCCAGCAGAAGCTCAGCTGCTGGCAACACAAGCAAACACGTGTGCAAGGCCGCAGCATCAACAGTTGATGGCCATGAGCATGATGGTAGGTGATGGGAGAGCAAGAGTGATGATCAGCCGTGTCACATGCTTGGGGTTGTCAGACTGCCCTGGAAATACCAATGCTTCGCAGTACGCACCACAGCCTGCTGCGGCCACATCGCCAACAGGTAAAGACGCCGTTGAGGCTGCGTCGCCCCCTGCTGCCCATCGTCAGCCCCCCTCGATGCTCCGGCTGTTAATAGATGCCTGCAACAGTGAGGGCGGCGGCAGCAATGCAGAGGGCATGCGGGAACTCGTGCAGGATCCGGATATGGAGACGACACCAATTGGAATCACGCAGGAATGTTACAGAGTTGCAGCCATTGCTGCTGGCTGGGGTGACCGTGCTGCGGTGGTGCTTCAGCTTCCATATGCATCCTGGCAAGACAGCAATACTCGGCATGGCTCTAGCTTGCGGGCTCGATCCGTCAGTAGAGTCCTTTGGCGTTTTCAGCGTCCATCGGCAAGGCATGGTTGTGTGCATCAGGCAGGGGAGACTGTGCCGAGCGCACGTTTAGGTCGGCAGCCGGCCCCTTGCCGGGCCCAATGCTGGCAGAGGTACCCGCGGCGCCCTCATCAGTCAAACTGAGCGCCCAAACAGTCAGCAATCTCCGTCGCAATCACCGCCGCCGCCGCCGCCGCTGCCTTTGCCGAAGTCCTCGCAGCCACTGCAGCTGCTGGAGGTGCCATCCGCCGTGTGTGTGCTGCAGTGGCTGCCGCTCGTTGGCGACGAGGGGGTCCCGGGCATGGCGCGAGGCGCAAAGCAGGGCCCTGCGGCACACTCGAACACGCCGGGGCCGCCCGAGTGGCTAATGCTGCCAGGCGTGGTACATTTGCAATGAGTGGTGGCGCGGTTGGCCAAGTTGCCGTTGTTGGTGCCACCCCATGAGGAGCAGGTGATTGCAGTGGTGGTGTGCACATTGGTGCTGCTGCTGATCCTGCAGGTGCCGCCGACATGGCAAACATCACTGTCTTTGCAGAGGGCGTCCTTGATCCATGGCTGCTGTGCCGTGTTGGCGGTGGCCCCGCCATTCATGCCCCAACACCTGGAAAAATACCCCTGCTGGCCTGCGGGGTTCGTGCGCGACTCTTGCTGCTGCTCCTGCTGCTGCTCCTGCTGCTGCTCCTGCTGCTGCTCCTGCTGCTGCTCCTGCTGCTGCTCCTGCGGCTCCTGCTGCTGCTGCTCCTGCTGCTGCTCCTGCTGCTGCTCCTGCTGCTGCTTCTGCTGCTGCTCCTGCCGCTGCTGCAGCAGCGGCACGTGCTGCTGCCGGTGGCCCTCCACCCCGCGCTCCTCCGAAGAACCCTGCTGCATCCCCCCAACCACCTCAGACCGCCTGGCCTCAGTGGCCGCGGGGCTTGGCGTCGAGCCTGCGTCAGGTGCAGGTTGCGGGCCCAGCATCACGTCCGCGGGCGCCCCATCGCCCGCTTGCTCCGCTGAACACTCCAGCGGCAGCGGCGGGCATGCCTCGGTCTGCGTCTCCACCGTCGCTGATGCCAGGCGTGCGGGCGTCTGGGTTGCGGCGCACTCTGCCCTCGGCGCAGCCTGCTCCGCCGTCTGGCATGCCACGCTGCTGCGGCCCGCTCGCACACACGGCTGCTGTTGCAGCTGCTGCTGCATAGGCTCGATCTGAGCTGTCGGGCCTGGAGCTTTGCGCTGTCCCGTGACCCCCCAGACGTTGGCGAGGGCCTCAGTGACCCACGTGTTGCGCATGAGCTGCCGCATGGTGGCGCGCTTGGCGGTGTCGCGCTCCAGGCAGGATG